AACCTGAGAATCAAATGGGAAACTATCTTCGGTGGACACGAGAGCGAAATTCGCAAACAACATCGCACGACGGTTTGAACAGATCCCAGTGATGACAGCTGATGTTTAAGAGCGGCATACTTGAGACTGCCGCCGAATGCTGCGGATATAAACGGGTTGCTCTGCCGCCTGGAGGTCAGAAAAGATCTTCATGGTGGACACGAGAGGTACAACTGGCAGTTAAAGAGAAAAAAGACTGAAAAGTTTCAGTTGCAATGGATTAAGCATGTGTTGCGAATGCCCTCAGGTAGGAAAGCGAAGCAACTACTTCTTGCGAAACCGACCGACAGAAAACCATGGGTACTGCCAAGATTAACCTGCTGCAAATGTATGGAAGGAGTCTTTTCCGGACAAAAGTTGTCTTCTGCCGAAGCTCAGACTCTGGCACAGGATCGGGAACGTTGGAGAAACTGATTGAATCGTATGTGTGCCTCGTTGATCCGAAAAGAGAAACGCTTATGGAAGATGAAGAAGACATAAATCGTTCAACATTTGTGCCCTTCTTCTGCAATTCAAAAGTTACGAATCACACTTCTGTTGTGCAGGGCAGGTAGTTCGCTCCAGACTGGTTGGCAAGGAGACGCGCAGTTGTTCATCAGAGCTCAGAAATGAGATTTAAGCTTCCTGAGCACCGCAGGCTCTCAAGTACCATGGAGTCTTGACCTGCCTGACTGGTGTTCCTAGGCGTTTTCAAGTAATGAGGCGCTAGGGTGCTACGTATGCTTGTTGTAACGGCTTTAATGGGTCTTGCTCTAGTATGGCATTTTGTGCAGGTAAAATGTATTTATAAGCCTAATCTTTGTGCCTCTAACCGTTATGTCAGAACTTCTACATTGAAGACTTCGTACTTTACTATTCGCTCATTAATTAATCAGATTTTTAAAGAGTTGAAATAAATATTGTGTTTATTTCGTTCTTAAAAAGAGCATTTCAATGAATAACAACGCATAGTCGCTTAATAAGAATGATTCGAACGCAACCGAACTTACCTCCTTAAACCACTCATCAGTAATCGACGGTTTTGCAGCTTTTCGGAAGCTGGGTATTGAAACTGAAAAAGTTTATTAGGATATAATTTCTGTTGCGCATGTGTTCGTACAAAGTGTCTTACGCAGCTCTGAGATTCTGTTGAACGTGACGTTGTGCCTCATTCTCGAAATATCGTACCACCGGGACTGCGGCTGCTTTTGTTTTTCCATATCAGTCTGTGAAGCAATGAAAAGATTTGCCTAGTGGCGCTTTCTCACGTCTTACCAGTGACTGTTGGGAAACGCTTCTTCTGAGCTTTGCTTCTGCTTCAGGACGGGATGGAATGTTTTCTTCGTCGAGGTTCGAGTACGACTTCGATTCTTTCAGTCGTCGTTTTGTGCTGACCTCAATTTTTCGCACCTCGTCAGCGATCAACTCCTCCAATAATTTCATCAGCTCTTCGCGTCTCACCGACCCCAACAAAATTAACGAATCTAAAGCACCGCTTATGACTGATTCGTATCGCATATCATCGAACAGTTGATGCGATGCAACTCTCAGAAAAGTGACAGTCATGCATATTGTTTACCGATATGATATTTATTATTTTTGCCTTTGTGTATTACAGTAATATGACTGGCATCGTCCGTACGGTTGCAGCTCTCCTGTGACAAAACCATCCGCGGGATTCATCTTAGGGAGCCAGCAACGACTGCGCCCCAAAACGTTTCTCCCAAGCTACTATATTTCTCTTCTATGTTTACCGACAGTACGGCTCCAGTGTCCACTGAAGTAATGAACGACTGAACGAATGTGTGGATGGGTGAAAGAACGAACGAGCAACAAACAATATGTTTCAAAACCATTTTCAATTTGCGGCCAGCAACTGAACGAACCTTGAGTTCGTTGACTCAAAATTTTTTGAGTCCATTGCGAGTGAAATTCAACGAACAACGATCGTCTAGTGTTCATTGACTCGCGTCGTTACTGAATATCAGCACCATCATTGGCTGTCGTTTTCTCTGTCAGAAAAGAAACGATATCGATTGACAGTATAAGGTCGTCAATCCTCAATTATTTAGCTCAAGACTGCATTTGATTCACTACGTCGTCAGGCAATGATGAAAAAAGTCTTGAAATGCTTTGCAACACCTGAGCACTTCGTTTCCATCTCGGAAGAGATTGACCAGAAGCCATATGTGCTCTCAAAGTCGAACAAGAGCTAGCTGAACAACTCCAATTAACCATAAAGTTCGCCAGCATGGTGTGTCTTCACCGTTGCTGTTCAACATTGTTCTTCATTATTGTCTCGTAAGGTGTCACACTGACCTGGTGTTTGCTGATGATGCTGTCCTCGTCAGTAGCACAGAAAACAGGATCTGCCACCTGACAACTTCCGTATGCAAAACAATTGCGAATGCGCGTCTCTTCCTCAAAATGCGGAAGTCAACAGCCAGTGAGGAACAGAGAGGAACAGTTTCACACAGCTAATCTACAAGTGGAACTAGGAGGAAAAACGCCACTATATCAGGTTGATCAATTTATGAGTCTAGGTTCCATCCTCATTTCCAGCGAGGGTGCCATCCAGCCAGAGTTGAATAGATAGATGCGATAGAAGGACTACTCTTGCCTCGGGTGCCCTTGGAAACCTGGCCAATATTTGTCTTGAGATACAAAAATCCGCTTGTCCGTTACGTCTGTTAGGTCAGTGTTGTTTTAGTGCATGGAAACGGTTGTTGTAACGAAAAATCAGAAACAGCGGTTTAATTGCATAAAGCGTAGTGATTTAGGGACATAATGAGGGTTATATGGCAAGACCACATAGGAAATGACTCTATTCTCTTCTAGGCACAGGTAACGTCAATGGATATGGAGATTAAGAAGAGATGGTTGGCCCCGTTAGACGCACTTATTGAGCAGCATAAACCATTCTGCCCACCCCATGAGCTTTCGTGCGGGAAACCAAACCCGGAAACTTCCACCATAAACAGAAAATACAACAGGAAGGAACAATGTAGAGTAGAGCTGCTTTCAGCGATGCGATGAATATTTCCTACTGTGACACATTGACGGGTGTATTATGGCAAAATATCGAACACTTGCCGATGCAGAAAACTTCACTGGCCAAAGGGGTTTTGCTTTAGTGATAATCTCACTTAAAAAATGGCAGATACCTGAACGAACTCCAGATTCAAATTATTTAATTAATGAGTGAATGATGGAGGTAGGGAGGAAGGAAGGGATAAGTGCTAAGTTGTCATAAGTACGCAAACTACTGTTATAGAGACATCTTCTTTGAAATAGGTGACTCGCTTTGAATAAACGCGAGAGCGTGTGAGGAGGTCCACTATTACCCTGCTTTGTGTGGTACTCTATTTTATCATAATTGACTTTACAGTTGATGGATAAATTTATTTGTCATCATTATCGTATCTTAATGTCACATTTTAATTGTGGACGTGACCCTTGCCTATGGCATTATTTTAAACGCGAAAAACGTTCAGAAATAAGTGCATGCATTCACCTCGCCGAAAACGTTCAGAAACTTTGTATTTGCTGGATTCGTATTTGTTAGAGATAAATGACAAACAAAATTACTATAAAAAATATTTCACTGTTTATGCAAATGAATAGTACAGTTATGTGCATGATGCGAATTCCATGTCTATAACGCACAACATGAGTTACGCTTTACCTGCCTGATCAACGAGCGGGAAAGTTTTCAACTTAGGAAAGGCCTTCAACAGGGCGAGCAGCTCCCGGTAGGTCGTGTCCAAGGTGAGGTACTTCACGTCGCGAACCATGAAGTTATGAACGTACACGGAATGAATGCTGAAAGCTAGCCTTACGTCGAAGCCAGTCAAAATATGCTGACAGAAATACATACCTCGAGGAGGTCGGTGGAATGCGAGGTAGATACGGCAACCGCTTGATATAAATGCTGGTGTCGTACAGCGACGCCTGAAACCGGGCACACACCGCGTTGGCCAGAAGGACCGATATCTAAGCTGTGAACGTTAACGCTTTAGTTAACGGGGCTAACCTCAGAGGGCGCACAATCGTCGGAAGGAGGTGGGTGATCTGGCCGGTCATCTCGAACACGATAACGGAGGTCGAAATGGCGTGAGTAACGGCGCCCGAAAACGCTGCTGCGCCTAGATATGAATTGTAAGGCCGAAAAATTCTATTACGAAACATCTGCCTAGGTATCAACCTCACCGACTACAGCGTAAGCTCCGGGAATTATGCTGTGGGCGTTGACATTGTCACTGATGCCTTGAGGAAACGCCAAGGCCATTAACTCGCCAACTAGTCGTCCAAATGCTGCCCCTGTAACGTGAGGTTCACATTGCAACGGTGCACAAAAGACGAAGTCGCGAACTTACCTGTCACAAATACTGGAATGAACGTGCCACACGGCACAGGCAGAGTGGTCGATATTGCGGTCATCCAAAACTAAGCGAAAAATCAATGATCGGGAAACATAGGTGGCTATGAGGATCGATAAGTTTTTAAAAAATCATTTAACAGGCATTCATATATGAGAATTTATGAGTAACTTCATTTCATTTGATTACTGTAACAGAGATTGACACCTCTCCATGGTAGAATCGTGGTATTCAAGGAATCCCAAAATTACACTTTGAGCAATGAATGTGTCATGACAGTAGCCGGGTAAGTAGGAATCTTGGTAGAGATTGTTATTCTACTCACGGTTCGGAATTTTTGAAGGTTTCTGAAGATACAGGGGGCCAGTACAATCCGTGTACCTTTCCAACTTCTGAATGGTTGAAGTTTT